AAAAAACAACATTAGAGACTGTTAAGAATTCACTAAACAGGAAATGGTTTTACCCCAAACGTGAAAGTGAAACATGTTGCTAGATATGTAGAGGATTTGGCACGCGATAACAAATAATATTTTTTGCTCGTTTTGGCAAGGGTTTGAACTGCTGCATCAGCGAAATAACTCCAAGAAATCAGAACGGTTACCGATTTTCAAAGTCATGTGTAATTGATGTGACAGTTGCTAAGTCATTTAAGGAAAAATCTTCATCCAACATTTTTTTGAACTTGTCAACTGCATCAACCAAGCAAGATTTGAACAGAATGTTAACAAAAGATTGTGAACTGGCATTCCCCAGAATTTTCATTTCACCTCCCCCATTTCCAAAAAGCAAAAAAAAAGTACAAAGATTTTTTTTCATGTCTTGTATTAGTTCTCAAAAAAGAGTAGGCTTAAGTGTTATTACCAGGGGAGTTGAACACATGTCAAAGGGTGCTTGAAGGTTCATTATTACCCCATAAAGGGTGCTTGAGAACTTTTCTCAGGGATTGAAAAGTTAGGCCAACCTTTACGACCTCCAAGAGGTTGTTGAAACCCAGGTTCATGCAACACTAGTGGTACCTGGGCTTAAAATGAAAAAAAAAAATCTACATTGCTCCCTTTGTAGTATGGGATAAGTGGATGCTGGTTAATCCCCTCTTGGTCTCTGGAGGATTTGGTGGTCTCAGATTTACAAAGAGATTAACAAGGAGGCCGGTTCAGGGATTAGGCTCAGTAGGGGTTCAAGTGCAGGCATCGTTTGGCACCTCATGAGTTTGGGATTAAGTCGGGTCTCGGAGGGCCAGCTGTGAAAACTTGTTGAAAACTTTGGAGTGTCAAGAGAGTGTTTCAAAACCTTTTTTTTTATTTCTAGTGGTGGCCAAGTATCCTCTAGAAAACGAAAGTTCTTTGTATCACATATCGATAACTATTTTCAGGCCAGTGCTGCCATTGCAGTGCGAAGGCCGGTTCAAACGCAGTGCGAAAGCGAACAAATTTGTGACGCTGCGGTAGTTTTTGTGCGGCAAATTCGCAAAAGTTGAACACATTTCTTCGGCAAATTTCGCAGCGAAAATTTTGTGACATCAAAATTCACTTTGCACTTGTGTGTAATATGAACCAGCATTGATGCAGATAAATATGCATTGCAGAAATCTTGGTTCACGTGGATATGAAGTTTTTTTTCCTGATGAAATTTTAAAAGTTTTCAAAGTTTTGTGTGCATTAATTTCACAAGGTGCCAAACCCCAGCTTTGGTCTCGGGCGTATTTGGCTGAAGTAAGAGTTTCCAGTTGAAATCAATCTCATCAATGAAGTAACAACACACGGCCAGGCCGTGACATTGGAATATGAAATAGAAACCTAATATATACACTAAGTATGAGTAATAATAAAAACATGGACAGATGTCGGGTAAAAAATGATGCGCGGATAAGTTACATCATTATTCGTCATCTAAAAAAGTACACACGTCATGGTTCAATTAAACAAATACTATGAAGCGATATATGCACAAGGAGGATCTTTTTTTCCCTCCAAGTTGGTCAAATTTAATTGCCTATAAACATTTACCACATGTTCATGTAAATGTACAATGTATGGTATAAAGCCTGTGTGTTGTGTTAATAAGGCTTGATCCTAAATAAGGCATGTACACATGAGCAGATATTAACATCACCATTACTAGTGCACACACTGTGTACTGCAGGCCCAAAGCATGCACTTTGAATGTCCCAAGGCTTATTGTATGCAACTACATGCATGCTTGATGTACTGTAGAATAAACAGACAGCTTGGGTTACTGAACACACACATAACTCCTCATTGCATTCTACAAGTTGTTTGTTTTGATGATGTCGGGGTGAAACTTGTGTTAGGAAAAGCTTAACTCATACATACATGTACTATCCTAAAGTCTGAATTGTGACGTTTTAAAAGGTGGTGTCGAATCATGATTAGAAAATTGAATAAAAAAGTTGCATTGTTTGTAACAATGGAATTGCTCTTAGTCTTAACCCTAACTCGCTAGTGTTTTTTACTAAGTACTGGACCGAGTCCGCCGAAATCCATCACTGACCCTGCTTCACATAATGCGTTAGGACCAAATTCGCTGAAATCCACCACAAGACCACCACTACTATATGTAGGTGGGTTTTGATGGACTTGGTACTAATGGCTTGCCTGCCAAAATCCCCAAAATGGGGGGAATGGATTTTGATGGATGGGGGGCATTGCATTTTCGGTAGCATCATTTCTAACTTAGCATGGTTGATTTAAGAGTTAACAAGTTTTTAAACAGCAACTGTAGTACATTGTATCCTGCTGCATTGTGTTTATTCACTGATGACTTAATAACACCATTGAGTGCTGAGACAGTAATAGGCAGGACAGTTCGGAGCAGTACAGTGACTATGGCCATGTTCAGACACCGTGTTAGCTAAAACCGTTCAGACATCGTACGAGGAGATAAACTCGTTCTGGTTATTCGCTAAACCCTCCCTCTGAGGGGGTTTAAGTTGCCGTTTTATCTTCGAGTTCAACTCGATTCGGTCTAAATAAAAAAGCGTTCAGACATCGTTTTAGCAAGAAAGTTACACTGAATCGAGTTCAACCGGTGTTTTAAGGGAATTTAAAACGGTGTCTGAACGACCCGTATCAGATTATCCAAACTCACAACTTGACGGACTTGTGTCAAAGTCTTTAATCCTCGATTCTCAGATGAGTGTAGGTTCAGAGTCTGCTTGAATCCTAAGGTTTGGTCCCGAGTCTTAATTCTAAATCTGTGTTCATCCAGACTTCAGTCTGCGTCCCAATCTGAGTCACCAATTTGCTTCTAGGTTTCCAAAGTTTGTTCTTATCTCGTCCAACCTAAGACGGCAAAGCATTTTGTATCTCCGTGAAAATTGCACCAAAACCATCCATCATGGATCTCCATAATTTAAGTAATCCTCCCGTAAAGTCTTCCTTCTCTACCTCCTTTCTACATTACCTCGGTTTCTCCGCTATCGACTCGGGTTTTTAGGTTTTTTTTTTTTTTTTAGAGAAACCAAAAAGGAAAGAAAAATGTGTCCTGGTCCCAAGCCTCAAGTTACTGCAGCTATCACCGTGGAATATTTTGCCCCGCGGCCCATTTTGGGCTTATGTTAACATTGATCGGTTTAAGAGTGCATTTTTGGCCGGCCTCGGGCCACGCACAAGCGAGGAACACCAGAAAGTTGTGCCGGACGACAATATTAGAAATGGTGTCCTGTTGCAGGGTACCGAGATAGTGTCTTGATAATCATGCCGGATGGGTGACTGTACACCATAAGCCAATATTTTTCCAGCGGTATATCTGGCTGTATCAGATTTTGGGGCCCGCTAATATTTCCCCGTTATCGGGATCCGCGGTGGTTTTTTTTTTCTCCCCGTTTCCATTAGTGAAAACTTGGAGGTGAAAGTTCCAGGGTTGCCCGAGGTGATGCCGTGTACAGATTATTTTGCAACTTGCAGATGGCGCACATGTGCCTTGCCATTCATTTAAGTACTAATTGCAGCGACTTGCATTTGGGTCATCTGAATTTAAGGAAAACAACAGTTAGACAGTAATTCCCTCCATGGCAAATGTGTGTTAAATGCTAACACAGGTAGAGTCTTTTAATACTGAAAGTCTGGAAATTATTTCAAAATTTCATTCAAAAATCAAATTTATGCATGTCAAGCCAATGTTTTCCTGGCATTTTTAGACTCACATTTATGTAGAGTCTTTTTATACTGGAATTTGTAAATCATTTTAAAATTTCATTGAAAAATCAAATGTATGCATTTCAAGGCAATTGTTTTCTTGTATGTCAGACTCTGTGCCTATATGCAAACTACATAAATTACATCTTTAGATTTATTAATGAACTATGAAGTACTTACTTAATAAATATAGACCTTTGTTTTATCATTGAACACAGTTTTTCCCAGCATCATTGGAATGCAGACTCTCATTACACCGTTAATTAATAATTATTGTCGTATCATCCTAGGGCCGAGGTTAGGTTAAATCCACAATGCCATGCCATGCAAGACAGCATCGCGAAATGTTTCAAAGCAGATGAAGGCTACAGACCAAAAAAAAAAAAAAAAGGAAAAGAAGATGTATGACAACGAATCTTACGAATTTTATGCATGCGATATTGCCATTTAATTTGATAGGCTGAAGTTGTTACTCAGGGCATAGTGTCACAGAGAGCGCGGGGTATCGTGTGACCGGCGTCGCACCTGCACATTATTACGATGAGTCAGTGGGCCGTTTAGCGCGGGATGTTTTCCCAAGTGTGCCCCTCTCCCTATGTCTCTCACCCCATCCGTCTCTACGTTCGTCATTCGTCCCCCGTATGCGTATCTCTCCCTGGGATAAAAATTGACGATGGAGCAAGATTAACTACGGCTTTTTTTGGGGGGGGGGTGGGGTGTTGAGTTTTGTCTCATTGGCTGGGATTAATTTCGGATGTTTAGTTTCCGCAGAACACGAGTCGCATGTCTGGTCAAATAGGATGGTAATGTGCTGTGATTGCGATCCTTGCGTAAATATTTCCGAAATAAAATCCATCCATTATTCCTCCCTTGTCCAAAAAATGATTCAGTTGTTATATTGTTGTTTGTTGAATTAATCTGGACAATTTTTATAAGTCCCTGGAAATAAGCGTTGATGTGAACTCTTGACGTTATTTGCTACTGAAAAAATACATCCTTGGTATTTGTTGAACCTTTTTGAGCCTTTAGAGATTGCCATAATCTGAAAGTTGGTAGCATGACCTTTCTCTTGTTTTGGTCCTGTTCAGTTGTTTACTCTTACATGTTTGTTGACAATATGGGTATTTTTCATGAATTGACGACACCATTTCACCGATCTTTGGAACTTTCAGAAGTAATATGAATGCCAAGACAAGCTGTCAAACTTGAACCATATTTCTAATTGTCTTCTTTGGCAACTTCTCTCTTTGTAGTGGACGGAACAGGGAAGTAGCTACAATCGGTTTTACAGTGTCTGCCAAGTCCGCAACCCAGACGCTAGCAATGGCTCTTGGCTGCGAATGCCCTACATCCCCCGTCGCCTTGGCAACCGCATCCACGTGGAGATCGAGTTCACCATGAACTCGTGCACGGGCATCGACGACGCCCACCAATGCAAAGAGACGTTTGAGTTGTTCTACCACGAGGCGGCCACCAACGAGCCCCAATACCAGCCTTCCTGGACCGAGCCTCCGTACACCCGCATTAAGCGCATCGCGGCCGAGACCCGCTTCTCGGACGGGGACAGTATGGATCATCAAGCAAACCTCGCCGTGGAGGAATTCCCCACCTCCGCCAACGGTTTCTACTTGGCGTTCCGCGACACCGGCGCCTGCATGGCCATCACGCGGGTGCGCGTCTTCTACGAGGTCTGCGCGGCCAAGACGGAGAGTTTCGCCAAGTTTCCGGAAACGGTGACCGGAGCGGATCTGGTGTCCCTGGTGGCGGTGGATGGGATATGCGTGACCCACGCCCAGCAGATTGGCACGCTGCCTATCGTGGCCCGGTGCCAGAAGTTTGGCGTGTGGACGGCCTTCCAAGGAATGTGCGGATGCTCGCCGGGATTCGAGGCTGACGGCCAGAGTTGTCGAGGTAAGTCAACTTTGCGAATCATTTCTGAGCATTTCCTCCCAAAACAATACAAAAAAGTTTTAGATGCTTAGCTTAAAATGCCTACTGACAAAGCTAATGACAGGGTTGGCACTCATGCTTTGATGGAAGTTACAGGGTAGTTGCCTGTTGCCAATATTTTTGAAACTATTTTAGCACAAGCGTTTTCTGTTGTGAAGAAGGTGACATCAGCAGTTTGAAAATCCAATGCTTCACAAATCCTTAAAGCCAATGTCCTCATTAAAAAAAGTTTTGACTAGAAAAATGTTTCCAAGAAGCCGGGGTAAAACTTTGTATTTTCTGCCAGTTGACTAGTTCACTTAACAGTTTCTGTGGTTAAAGAATTCTTGAGTATTCAGGAAATTTAAAATCTTCCAAAGAGGCAATGTCCTCGTAAAAGTTCTGAACACAGGTTTTGAAAAAAAAAAATTCCAAGTATTGACGGGAGGTTACAACAGAGACATCAGCGGTAGCGATTTTGGCACCCGATGATTGTTAGCACTGACCCCTGACAACCCCTAGAATCACCGCGCAACGTTGCCAATCTCTCAACTAGGTTCAGATTTATGCCCCACTGAAATTTCCCAACGCCCCTTATTTAAACAATTTACACTGCGGAGAGAAATCTCGAAAGTCTGGGACTGTACATAGTTCCCCATACTTGTACATAGAGACCTCTGACTGCATACAGACATAAATATCCTCTGTAGTGAATTATTGCAAAAACCGTCTGCGGTTGGTGTGTTTATGTCTTGTTTTTACTGGGTAAGATTTGGACTTTTTCTTGCCGACCCTGACCTGGATAAAAATTGACCATGACCATTTTTTTTCGGAGACCTTATCTTTTTGATTAACGACGCTTAATGGCACTTAAAATTTAGAGAGTTGTAAACTAAGCCAGCATTCACTTTGCTAAAACATGGACCAAGAGAACATTGGAGTGAAGATCTCTTGTTTCTTTCGATTTCCAGTACAAACACAAAAGCTGCTGCCTCAAGTTGTACATTTTTGTTTTGGAGGAGAAAAGTGTGGAACAGGTTTTGAGGTTTTCGGGAGTGATTATAATTGAAACACAACAAGTGAAAATGTAGGCTAACTGAACTTCACTGAAACACAAGTTTCACAGAATTTGTGGAAGTATTTGATTTTGAAGTTGTATTCTCTGTTAGATTTACCCCACACAGTCATTGAAAATATCTGCACGTTCACGTTCAGTCGTTTACTTGACGTGTTTTGCTAATTGGAAATGAAATGGTCACTTCAGGCCAAACAATAAACAACATAATCTAGACAAATTCTTTTATGCCCGCAATTTTGACTCTTGGGTTATCTCCCGATCATGAACTTCTGAATTTTGTTCAGTTGTTATCTTCTTTCTTTTGAACGGATGTAAACTTTGGCCGGCATTGTTGCCATAAACGTGTCACAAAGGTCCCGAATCAGCAGCCAATATTTGTCAAAAGTCTGACAGGGATACGAGTGATCAAGTTTTGTACAGTTGTTGTGTGGCCGATAATTATCGTCGTTATCGACAAGCTAATAACCGGTTCCCCTTTTTATGGCATCGGCGGATTTGACAAATTGGGGTAATGCTGGACTTGTGGAATGTGTCTCGGCTGGTTTGAAGTGTTCCGTTTTTTTTATCAATTTGATACGCACAGCATGAGAACGACTTGGTCGGTTCTCATCACAAAGGAAAACAAACAAGAGCTTTATAATGAAGTTCAGTAAACTACAATGTAGGCCCAATTTTATGCAGCTTGTAAGCTCAAAAGTTTGCTAAAGACAGAAGCATTTTTGCTTAGTAAGAGCAGATAATGAGCCATGTGTTTGTATATTGCTGTGACTCTTTGTAGCCAATTTTGCTGAGCTAATTTTTAGCTTAGACCTATTGTTGCTACTTAACTGTCAATGAAAATTGAAATTCGGTTCAGGTTTGTAGCGAAAAAATAAAATTTCATCAAAAAGATAATATTGCAATGGGTTATCAAAAATAGAATTTTTTTTTTTTATTAAAAAAAGCACATGGGTGTTTTTGGTCCCTTTCAAATTTAATGAAGAAAAAAATGGCTAATGTTTATCCAGCGTGCAACCTGGAATGTAAGTTCATGTAGTTCATGAAATTTACAGTTACGCCGACATTCTTAGTTTAGCTTTCTAACCTCTGAATTCACCATTCCCAGTTTTTTACAATTCTTTCTCATTTGAGGTGCGACGAATGTGTAAATCATACCATAAATCTTATCGACCCCTTCGAGAAATGTTCAACAAATTTTCTTTCCTCCGTGTTCGTTTGGAAGAATAATGTTGATTCCTGGATCTGTCGTCACGGTCGTCCATCACGCCAACAGATGGGGAATAAGCCGTGAAACCCAGACACATTTACGCATAGTTACGCTGCGACCATTCATCAAGTAGATTACGCCCTCAGAAATCCACCAATCGGCAGCGAGCCGTGGTCCCCCTCGACTGTCCATGATGACATGCACCTCGTAGCAGCAGTACATCATTAAACGCCAGCGTCGTTGGCTGAGTTGGGGTTCAATGTTTATTGTTGCAACTTCTCCGGTGGCCGATCGTATTGCCGGTGTTTTTCTTGGCGGTCGGGAGAGGTGAAAGAGGTTTTACGAGTTGGTTCCCTCTTGCTCATTAATCCATGAACTCGCATAGCTGGTAACCAGTTTTCGCAAAAGAGTTCCCAGAACACTGCAGTTTTTTAGGCCGTGGTCGTAAATTATAAACTTTGACCAAAAAAATGAATAAATAAATAAGAAAATAAAAAAGAAAGTCATTGCCCCAGCATGCCTTCTTCACACATTCTTTAGAAAAATGTTTCAGTTATGTTTTTCTCATAAAATGTACTAGCAAAACCGCAGATAATCTTGCGCAAGGTTTTGAAGTTGAACGACCGGTGACAGTCACAGTTGAAAACATGTTTAGAGCTCGTCAAACTAATGATATGCGGGATTTACTTCTTATAGGTTATGAAAATTTACAGCAAGCATAATATGCAATCCAAACTTCTAATGATTAAATTTTCAGTTTATTTTTTTTATGTGTTCATTAAATTTAAATTTAAGAATCTGTGGTTAAAAAAACAAAGATTTTGCTTTCAAAGAATTTTGTCGAATCTTTGAAATAATTTTTTTCAGAAATGAACATTGCTTTCATTTGTACCTGTATTCTTTGTCACAGCAGCATCCCAAAGAAATAATGAAAATACGAGGCCAAGCTAATGTAGTTGAAAAAATTCTTTGTTCAAGCAAAAATAAAATGGAACAAAAAAAAAATTATTCCACAATCTATGCACTGCATGAGCACTCAAATACACGGGCTGTGTTCAGTCATTGTCATACTGGATTACACGTACACCGGTTCCCAGTCGTTAACTTTGCAGCCTGATTGGTAGGCATGACCAACTCCCCCAAATTAAAGTAGACGGGATCCTGGTAATATAAAACCCTATCCCTCCGACAGCCTCCGCTAAATCAGGAAAAATTTCCATCAATTTTTGGCAATTTAATTAATAAAAAACCCTCAGCCGCTGCATACTGATTGGATGATTGAATTAAGAAAGAAAAAAAAAGGAGAAAATCCTGCCCGAGATGTTTTCGTTTTGTATCCAGAACAGCTGATCAGGAAGAGACCTCCCACTGGTAACACCCTTGGGATAATACCACCTCCCATCTCCCCCAAAACCTGGAACCATCTTCTTTACGCCCTGATTAGGCGGGCGGGGGCTAGGAAGTATGAATTCAGGGGACCCTAGCTTGCTGGCATTGTCCGTAGTCAGCGAGGTGAAAACAACACTGACAATCCTGCTCAGTATCGGGACGGGACAAAATAAGCCTAGCTGGCTGGCTGAACTCGACCCAAGGGGTACTCAGCAGTAGGTGTGATCCTCAGCTGGTTTTCAGCGGTAACCGGGCCAGTTTTTTTTTTCTCCCATGAAGGCCAGGGCTGTGATGTCGTGCTACGCCAGCCCAATCAATACGGAATGGGGCTCGGACTGGAGCTATTGTCATTTGTCACACATCCCTACTACGCCTGTGTCGCCCATATATTTCTCTTTTATTCTCCCCCTCAGTTCGTTCGGCTGTACAGTAACAACCGTTGCACTCTGACATTATTGATCTACATGTACATGGAGTGGTCGGTGTTTGATGTGCGTCCCCTATAGTAGTTGTTTTTCATTTTGTTGACTTAGTTCTTGTTCCAATTTCTGCCGGCCTTTGTTGCTTGAGGGGCAGCTTGCACCTTGCCCCTATACATTAGAAAACATTCTTCCGTATTCAACAGATTAAACAGTGTGCACACGTTATTCCTCCCTTCGGTCGTTAAGTTAGACACCCATGAAACACTCTGAGCAAATTCATGCGTGTGTTTGATGCATTCTTTTACATGGCTTCGCCTCAAAACATGAACAGGTTCACGACAAAAAAAATATCCTGCAATGTCAAAATTCAACAACAAGAATGTCAAAAACACCAATATTTCTTTTCATGGACTATCCAAGCGTCATTGACAGGAATTTGCCTGACGAGTTCAAAAAAGCAAAAAAAAACCTGCTCAATAGAATAAACTTGCATTTATAGAAAGAATTAGCACAGTTACTCATATCTTAATTACAAAGAACAAACAATGATTTGCCAAATCTAATTTGCATTGACAGTTATTTTTTTAAAAACATAGCCCTTAGGTGAGTAAGAGTAAGAACCAGTGTTACATAACGACACAAAGCGCAAAATACCGACTATAGATTTTTTTTTTCTTGTTAGGCTTACAAATAAGAAAGCGGATCAAAATTATCGACTGGGAGTCTGACACGGCAAAACAGGCAGTGCACAATGGGGCTGGGTTGTAGGCAGACAAGAGAGCGACTTGTTAAAGCTAGTCAACTGTGGATAATGCTGACATGAGATCACATTATTGGGGTTCAGCTTTGTGGCTCATGATGTTGAATGTGTAGGAGAACATGTTGTGGACATGAAAATTACTTGTCACAATTTGTGGATACTGCTGACTGTAGCTGACATGCACGTTATTGGCATCAGTACGGTGTAGCTCA